ATCATGTAATTATTTGAAAAACGGTGACTACATTTCACTCATTTTCGCTTTATAAACTCTCTATAATAATCTTAATTATACAATTGTACTAAGAATTCGCTTACGTAGTGGATTTATTAAATTATTTGCTCATTAATCATCTTGTGTACTTACCTCTATAAAAATGCTTGCTTAACACATACGCGATTCAGGTAATTTGTTGTTTGTTCATGTAAAAACAGAGTGCAGCAAGGATTCCTCACTTATCTTTATTTACTGTGTTCCAATGTCAATAGTAATATCCGTAAAATAAGAGATGAAAAAGTAGTTTTATACGCCGATTTGCGATATTTAGGTAGTCAGATAACTCAGAACGGATAAAGCTCGAGATAATGTTAAAAATGCTGTTGGATGGAACATGTTAGTAATAAGCAGGTATTAGAAAGAATAGGATAACAGAGATCGTTATGGAAGTCAATTAGAAATAGGTGAGATATGTTGGCTTTCTTTTCTGGAATTACAGCTAGTTACAAACATATTAGAAACAAGAAAACAAGACCAGAAATTAAGAGGGACAGAGTTATACCTAGATGAAATTACTGTTCGCAAATAGTTGATGTAGGTTGCTCTAGTTTTCGAGAAATGCGAAGATTTACTCAAGATGGGAAGAACGCACTTCCACGCGTATCCGTTGTGATGTTGGCCTCTACTTTTTTGCTTAGCGTGTTAGTCTATTCTTTCTTGGATATATAAACATTACAATGTCAGTGAGAGTATCCATAGGAATCCAGGAATATCAGTACGTTGCCGTTATTAACAATTTTATATGAATTTTTATCAAAGACCTTCACCTTCACGCTTACAATGTTCAATTAACTTACGGGTCCAAGAAACAAGACTATTAGCAACAGAGACAATCTATTAAGTAGGTGTTGGAAAACTAAACAGTGAATGGATTTTTTTTTAATATCATATAATTGATATAGCAGTATTAGTATCTAGCAAGGAGGAGTTAGAGATATCTTTAAATAAAATGGAAGCGGTATCGACAAAACAGTACTGTATGAAAATAAATAAAAGTAAAACAATAATACTGGTATGCAAGGGAAGAAATANCTAGCAGCCAGTAACAAATTGCTGTCGCTCTTAAACACATTAATAGCCTCTAAACATGACAAACAAAGATTTAAATAAACTCAAAGTTCATTTCATATTAGTTTTAATGAAGCTTTATTCCTGTCGTCCCGCCACTTTGCGTTCATAACAGAGAATACTCTTTTTATAAATGCTGAAGTGGCCGGAACGGACAGCAAAAGTGACACTACTTTGAACAGATTTGGGAAATTAGGTTGTTCCGTAAATATGGCTTGTCATTATTCTGTGCAATATTATTGATATAAAAGTACCCTGAATTTCGAATAATCGCTTACAAAATTACGATGTTTACTTAAGGCCTCAAATAAAGTATTTTTGCGTACTTTATGTGTCTTGTAAAGTATAACGTACGCACAGTCGAAATAGAGTACAATACTTTATAATAAAGTACGGGTGGCAACCCTATCCACATGTGCTGACGTCACAGGTTACTTCTCACAGCTGTTTAATTACGAAGCGCGTGTGTTCGAATCCTGCAATGTGATCAAATTTTTTTGATTTTTTTTTGGTACGATAAGTAGAAAACTAAGTGGAGCTCGGTTTCCCAGATATTGTCTACAATACATATTAATAATAATAATTTGGGTCATTTTTTACATTAGTTGACATTGGAATTGAGACATGAAGTTTAGTCAGGTAGGTAGTACTCACCAAGTAGAATCGTGTGGTAGCATTAATTTCGTGCGGAAACCAATGTAGCTTGAGATACAGGCTCCTAATGTTATTTAATCGGAGGAAATTTCGATTGGTACGGCCCTGGCCGCAGCCCTTCGTCAGCTGTTCTCGCCAAATATGCATTGATGACGTCATTAGGTTAGGTAGATGTATGACAGACTCGAGTATGTTTAATGCCCCTGCCCGCCGAAGTCGGTCTGATACATTAGAATAATGTTAGGAAGATATGTTTTAAGACAAACGATGTTTGGCGGGAACAGCTGACGGAAGGCTGAAGCCAGGGCCGTACCTACCGGAATTTCCTCCGATTAAGAAAACTTTAAGGGCCTGTATCTCACTCACATTCATTTTTAAACAAATAATAAACAAAATTCTAGTAAATACTACTACACTACTTTACTTGGTGAGTACTACCTACCTGACTAAACTTCATGTCTCAATTCCAATGTCAACTAATGTAAAAAATTACCATAATTTGTAATAATGTTCAATCAAATTTCTTAAATATTCAAAAGTGATTGTTACAACTGAGACGAAGCAGCAGCAGCAGCAGCGGCTCCAATTCTAGCATAACGTCTACAACATTGACGGCTTTCTCCTCTACGGACGGCACGATATGGCAAAGAACTTTACCGAAAGAGAGGCCCCCTCAAGTCCCAGTTTATTTGTTATTAATGTTACGTGGTCATAGCACCTAACCTACCTGCGGTAGTTGGTACACAGAAACAATAGAAGCAGCAGCGCAGCGTGTGCTACGGTCATACTATTGGCAACTTCTTATTTTCGTTTATTAGTTTTCGCCAGTAATACAACCAGAGTGCAGCTATACGAATAACTACCATGGTCGCCGCGTCAGTTTGCGCAAACAACATTTACTTTTATTACGAGCTAACAAAACATGTTTTGATCAGTTAGTGCGTTGCGTGCCGCATTTAAGGTTGAGACGTGTGTTTTCCCGCGTGTTTTCGTGACGTCCCATCCGTCCTAATAATTGCCGAAACTACCATACCATTACGCCGAAAAAAAAACTGGAAAAAATACGCTATACAAACGTCTTTAATTCATGTGTGTTTATTGATTTATGTATTTCGGCTTTGTGGGTCTGAAAATCGAAACTACCTTGTGGGTGTATTGATTGTAAATACGTGGTTTTCATTTGTTTCATCTACTGCCCTCACCATGTTTCCGCGAACTGTTCCAGTTTGTAACTGCAGAACTGCTGATTTGTGCTTTTGCATATCGTCAGGTAAATATGCGAATGCTTTGATTCGATGTATATCTGTGTGAATGCGTTATAAATACTGATTTGTGGTTTTGATAATGGTGCAATTTAAGTGGTCCGACATGACGCAATCTGTTGAAACGTCACAGTAAATAATGTGCAGCTATTGCATCAGCTTTCGTCAGCGATGAATCTCCTAACATTGTCCCACATGTCTATACATTACTATATTTAGTTAAATATTGTACATTATAGTGATACTTAGTTTGTATAAAGAGCAACAGGCAGTTATAGAACTGGGTCTGCAACGTAGAGAAATAGATATTAAGAAGGGAGTCAGATTAGTATGCTTAGATTTTCAGATGATATAGCAGTGTAGCATCTAGCAAGGAGGACCTAATAGAGATAGCTTTAAATAAAATGGAAGCGGTATTAACAAAACAGTATTGTATGAAAATAAATAAATGTAAAACAAAAATACTGGTTTGCAAGGGAGAAAAAAGTGGGGAAAGAGCGAATATAAAGATAGGAGACGAAAAATTAGAAGAAGTTACTGATTTTAGGTATCTAGAAAGTCAGATAAAGCTCAATAAGAAGAAGTCACTTCTATGTTCGCCAACGGTTAATTTAGAAATTCGAAAAAGGTTGTTAAAGGTGAGTTTGGAGCGCGGTGCTGTACGGGTGCGAAACATTTACGGTGGGTGTGGCGGAAAAGAAAAGGTTAGAAGCGTTCGAAATGTGGTGTTACAGGCTAATGATGAGGATACCGTGGATAGAGAAGGTTAGAAATGAAGAGGTATTAGAAAGAGTAAGAGAACAGGGGGTCTATGGAAGTCAATAAGATATAGGTGACATAGGTAAGTAGGACACTTTCTCAGGCATGAAGGTCGAGTCAGAAACATATTAGAGGCAGAAACAGAAGTTATGAGGAGTAGAGGTAGATTTAGATTAGATTACTGTTCACAAATAGTAAAGGATGTCGGATGTTCTAGTTTTAGGGAAATGCGAAGATTAGCTCAGTATAGGAAAGAGTGGAGGTGCGTGTCCAACCAGTCCTAGGACTGACGACCATATAATGATGATGTATATTAAAAGTATAGTTTCAATACACTGCAATATTTATTTATTGATTATAATTATTAGCAAGTATCTACATGAGTAAAATGTGCTTAAAATGGACTTTTATCCCAACCAGATTGTTTGAAAAGGTGACCATTGGTCGCAAAGGGGGCGAAGGATAAAAGTGACTGTAGAACACAGCCGGGAGTAGAGAACAAGAATTGAATAAAAATAAGAAAAAACGGTCATTGTGTTGGCAGTGGGATAAACTACCGGATTTTCTTTTTTTGAAGTGGGGGGGGGGGGAAACTTACCCACCATAACCTAACCTTTTCTCCTTGGCGTAAAAGGTTCCCCGTTTACTTCCGGTGCCTCTCTCCCCGAGGAAAACAATCCAAATTCGTATATGTTTGTACGATATTTCGTTATGTAAGTTATTTCCGGTATTCCGCCAGAAATGTCATTAAAGAATTAATTGAAATCTAAGGATGATTGGATTATCTCATGTTGATTAACATTACAAACAAAAAACTCATTAATTTATCATGTTCGAAAAAATACGTGTATCTTGTTAGATAAGAAAATTACCCATAAAACTAATCTAAAGTCTTTAGGTAATAAAATGATAAGGTCATAAATCGTCGTATCGCATGCTTTAAAGACGTTTTAGACCATCCGTTTTATTCTCATTCCACGCATAGAGGCTGTAGCTACCTCGAGTTTTTTGGTGGACGNATGTTCTTAAGACACCTTCTGAGGCATGAAGGTCTAATCAGAGACATATTAGAGACAGAAACGGGAGTTAGGAAGGGTAGAGGTAGACCTAGATTAGATTACTGTTCGCAAATAGTTAAGGATGTGGGTTATTCTAGTTTAAGGGAAATGCGAAGTTTAGCTCACGATAGGAAAGAGTGAAGTGCGTGTCCAACCAGGACTGACGACCTTATGATAATGATGATATTTACTTACTTTGAAGGATTTTTGATTTCTTCTGTTACATAATTCAGGTTATTCCATCCATCGTAAGCCCAAAGACCGGTGTAAAAAGCGGTCGCGATGTTTCCTAAATTGTATTTTGTGCCTCTGAATGGGTGCTGAAGGTGTTGCACGTTACCTGAAATTTAATTTTACTAACTGAAAACTTTTCCATTTTTTTTTTTTTGAGATATAAATAGGTAATATAACTAGTGATTCCCAAATATTTCCTGTCTATCTTTACTAAAATCTGCCAACTTTTGTTGTTTTTTTTTTCTTATTGGGAATCACTGAAGTAATTCAATGTCATACCTTCGATTATCTTGTACGCTCCTCCTAATATAACAATAAGTATTGCTACAAGTTTGGCTGCTGTGAAAACATTCTGTACACTTGTGGCTAAGTTAACGCTATAGCAATTCACATACAAGATCACAACTGAAAAAAAATAAAAACTAATGTTAGTCTTACTAATATAATAAAATAAATCACGGGTGTGTTTTAGTTGGACATGCATGCAATAGTGTTCTGTAGGCATTTGCCAATATCAATTTTGTTTTCTAATTATAAAATTTTTAGTCTTATACGTAATTGCAAAGTAATGAATCCTATTATACTATTAATAATTATTTTGTAACAGAGGCTTCTCATAACTGACATTTATTAAGTATTTTATAAAATAGTTTTACTGAAATTTGGTGAATGCGCCTGGTTGATATACAGGGTGCAACTGAAAAAAGTGCGGAGCTTGTAGGGGGTATAGTCACAGGTATGTTATGTGTAGATAAACGAGGTAGAATTTTAACGAACATATACTTACTAGTGTTCACATTTTCGTAAAATATAATCAAAGAAGTATGAATACAATATACTAGTGATTCCCGATCTTCGAAATATTCGAAAATAATAATTTTATTAGTTAAAATGTCCTTACAAGAAAATGGTAATGATATGAAACAAACAAGTCAAGTATGATGATTAGGCTGGATAAGTCCCATTGAATACATTTATCTCTATGACGAACATGTCTCTTCTTAGTATAGATATAAAAATGCGTACAGTGCCTTAAATGGGATCGATTACGAACTGAGGTTGTTATTGCGATGTATTTTTTTTATTTGGTTCTTCCGTATCTTATTATTGTATTTCAAATTTCCAAGTTCCAGAATGGTTCAATATCCAATTTAAATACGCGTCAATAGCAATTTAGCATAATGGGAAGCCGAGTGTGGCATTTACTCGTTGGGGTGTCGCCTTGACTAAAGTGTCCAAATTTTACAACTACCCTACCGTGGAATATATTAAATGTATTAAGAAAAAGTTAGAAGCGTTCGAAATGTGGTGTTACAGCGGAATGATGAGGATACAGTGGATAGAGAAGGTTAGAAATGAAGTGATATTAGAAGGAATAGGAGAACAGAGGACTCGGAAGTCAATAAGAAATAGGCGAGATAGGTTGGTAGGACACCTTCTTAGGCATGAAGGTCTAATCAGAGACATATTAGAGGCAGAAACGGGAGTTAGGAAGGGTAGAGGTAGACCTAGATTAGATTACTGTTCGCAAATAGTTAAGGATGTGGGTTGTTCTAATTTTGGGGAAATGCGAAGATTAGCTCAGGATAGGAAAGAGTGGAGGTGTGTGTCCAACTAGTCTTAGGACTGACGACCTTATGATGATGAGAAAGACTAGGAGAACAGAGGATTCTATGGAAGTCAATAAAAAATAGGCGAGATATGTTCTTAAGACACCTTCTGAGGCATGAAGGTCTAATCAGAGACATATTAGAGACAGAAACGGGAGTTAGGAAGGGTAGAGGTAGACCTAGATTAGATTACTGTTCGCAAATAGTTAAGGATGTGGGTTATTCTAGTTTAAGGGAAATGCGAAGTTTACCTCACGATAGGAAAGAGTGAAGTGCGTGTCCAACCAGGACTGACGACCCTATGACAATAATTATGACTAGCTCATAAAACCATCTTTCCTTTCAGAAAATTTCAGGTACAAGGTATTAGTGTTAACTCAAATACAAATGTTATTGATACTTTACATGTTTGATTTATTATTTGCACTTAAACACTAAACAACTAAAAGACACTATTTTTAAAATGTGTTTTCATTTTAACAGATCCTATCAATATTAACAAATAATTTTTTAATGCTAAGCAAAGTCTGCAGTAAGCAGTGACTTTGTTGTTCCGCATCAAGTACTTCTCGGTACGTTCAAAATAAGTCATTTTTTCAACTTGTTGAATCGAGAGACAAGGTGTGTTTAATAGGCTTTGGCCTTTGGATCGGTGCCAAGCGGCAGGAATTCATATTTCTATACCTTGTCTGTTACTGTTAATAAAATGACAGATAACAGGGACTTTTCGAAAAAAAAAAAAGCGCTTGCTAGGATTTCTTTTTGCATGTACATATAGGCAAGGTTTCACTGGTGAGCGACTGATCAAAGATATGATGAAGTACGTGTTGATTTATAAATATGCATTATGTACACATGGCTTGGTCAGTTTACGACAAACGAAAAGTTATTTTATGATTAACTAAATTTTATTTTTGTCATGCATTTCTACGTATTTTATATTTGGAGACAAACACCGACAAAAATTAATAGTTTTTTTTGTAATTTTCCAGTTGTATTTGTATTTACATTTACAAAACCGTTTTCTTTTGAAGATATAGAATATATATCTTCTTCGTTTATACTGTTCTGTTATTTAAAAAGAAAAGAAGAGGGTAGAACACCTTTTACATTAATGAATATAGACATAAAAAGACAACTTACTTTGGGGGCACGTTTACTGGTGGCGGATTGGTTTCTGCTTTAAGTCCATTAAAGATTACTGTTCACAAATAGTTAAGGAAGGGGAAGTTCTAGTTTCAGGGAAATGCGAAAATTAGATCAGGATAGGAAGGAGTGGAGGTAGTGTCCAACCAGTCTTAGGACTGCCGATCTTATGATGATGAAGAAGTACCTTTTTGAAATCTCTAAATCTATTTAATTACGAAAATTCACATTTCAGTTGATTTTTAATGGTAATTTAACGTAAAAGTTATACGAATTTAATGTTTTATATATGTTGTACAATAATGATTATTACCGATTTAGCATTCGGCAAGTCATCGGCTCGATTCCGAGACCGATTTGCCTGATCCATGTTTTCGTGTGGTTTCAAATTATAATTTAACCAAATGTTGGGGCAGTGTTACTCCACAAATAATGACAGTCTTCTGCCCGACCTGCTGGCTTTGCATTACAGTAAAATTTCCTTATTCACGGTTTCCTTATTCGCGTTTTCATTATACGCGGGTGAAAAAATGGCGACCCAGTTCCTGTATTCGCTGTTAAAAAATTCATTATTCGCGGTTGCAATCGGTAAACAGAAAAGGATTCGGTGTCATTTGTTAAGGGGATTGACCAAAATAGACCGCTCGTGCCTCGTGTGAATTTTTCCGAAAACATGGGTTCCTATTCTAAACATTGTGATTTAACGCTGCGAGATAAATATCTAATTTTTCGTATGGTAACAGGCAAAGGTTCCCACTAATTCGATACGTTTGTGCTTTTTAATAATATTGTCATTAAAAGCTTTTGCAAGTGCTTAAAGTTGATGCTTCTTGTAGGACACGTATTTTTAATAGAAGTTAACAAATTAAAAAATGGTCTTAGACAAGCTTTAGAACAAAGCTTTACCTATCTTACGATAAAATTTCTAACCTCTGTTACAAATATTAAACACATGATATCTAGAATCGATAAGCATGTTTTTAATCTACGGCGCGTGTACTACTGAATCCTCTTAATGTGTGTACACATGGTACGTGTCGAAGCGGCTTTTAAAAAAAATCGAGTAGAAAAGTATTCGGTGTTATTTTTCAACGTATTAGCATCTTTTGAGTACATACTTTTATAAAAGATGTAACCGAGTGGACTAATTTCAAAATTCAAAACAAGAAAAAATCACTAAATATTTTTAAACTCTTGCCTAAACCTGATTATAACGATTAATTTTAATTAGGAATTTATTAATACATTGATTTTATTTTGATATATATTGGTTTNGAAGGAGTAGTAGGAATATAAAGCAGAGGATAGCGCAGGGTCGAGTCGCCTTCAATAAAAATAAGTCACTTTTATGCTCGCCAACGGTTAATTTAGAAATTCGAAAAAGGTTGTTAAAGGTGAGTTTGGAGCGCGGTGCTGTACGGGTGCGAAACATGGACAGTGGGCGCGGCAGAAAAGAAAAGGTTAGAAGCGATCGAAATTAGGAAGGATAGAGGTAGACCTAGATTAGATTACTGTTCGCAAATAGTTAAGCATATGGGTTATTCTAGTTTTAGGGAAATTCGAAGATTAGCTCAGGATAGGAAAGAATGGAGATGCGTGTCCAACCAGTCTTAGGACTGACTACCTTATGATTATGATGATGATGAGGCTGATTTTCATTTGGATGTTTTTCAAAAAGCAGAATTGTCGTATCTGAGATAATGGAAATTCTCGTACTATAACATGTAAAAACGATGTACATACAGAGTAATCGCTGGAGGTGTAATTGGAGCATTCTTTTTTAATAATGAGTCTAGTAGATAGAATTTTAACAGGACAATGTCACATGCCATATAGAAAGAAAAACCATCAATTTGTTAAGACAATGTTTTCCTGGTTATGTGATTTCCAAGAAAGGTGACATTGCTGTCATGCAAATTTTATCTTTGGGCTTTTGCAAAGTCTAAGGTTTATGTTAACAAAACCTAAATAATATAAATTCACCCACCATTCAAATTAAAGGAATCTTTGGCGCGGCATATTTATGGAACGTATACCCCGCGAATAAAGAGCTTTTACTGTATATTGTAAATCGAAGGTACAGCCCACCCACAAGTATTAGCATCTGGTGGGAATGTAACACGCAAAAGTTCTTTTAAGTAGACGGTAGAGTACAGGTGTGTGAAATTGGAGAACCTGCAGGTCATTTTACACTTTTAGCTATTAAATGTGATCGCATTCATACGTATAATATAATTGGTTACTGGTGCGAATATTCGTAATTTCTTCTCACTGATAATATTGTCTTACTTTTTCAATAATGTAAATATGTAGTATTATGTTATGTATTTAGCGATGTGTATTCAAATGTGTGCATTGGCATGTGCTTGTCGACATGTTAAAAATGCCTGCTTGCTATTTGTAGGGCTTCTGTTCTTACGTGTGTAATACATGCAATATCTACACCCATTACCTATACATACACGCATTCATGCAAGTGAATAAAAGTGTGGTTTGTAAATTGAAACGGTGCTTGTTCTAATGATATCAACAATGTGGTAATTGTACAGAAAATATGTTTTTGTTTAAATTTCTACTAATAAAAACAGAATGTTGTGCACCTACGTGTTGGACTCTTAGTAAATATTAGTTTGTAAAAAAAGAAACTTATGCGTTTTTTTTTACTTAAAATACACCACAGTTGTGCTTTGTTGCTTCGTTTTCTGGTCGCTAGATGGCGGGAGGTTTCCAGGAAATGGATAACAAGGTTGAATTGTAGATACAG